CACCCACACCCACCCCCCCCCCCACCCCCACCCCCACCCCCACCCCCACCCCCACCCCCACCCCCACCCCCACCCCCACCCCCACAGCGTCCCTGTCCGGAATCTGAGGCCTTCACGCATTCAGCATCGTGGATGGGATGGACTCCTGCAACGATGCTTCCGTCGATGCCTCGGAGAACCTCAAGTGCGCAGCTTGCTCTTTCATCAGTAAACATCTCAGCCCCATCACGCGTTTCACAACTGATTGTTCAACCGTCGGCATATGCGGCCTTCCAGGGCTTCTAGGATCCTGAGCCTCTTTCCAGTCCACGGCAGATCCTCAGCTGGGCTTGCTGTGTTTTCTGAAGTTGTTTTCGACCATGCAAGGGAACACGCCCCCCTCCCTGCCGCCTAGTCGAGGACTTGCGGGTCTTGTAGACGGAATCTCAATCCTCATCGGGACTGTGGCAGCTCATCTGCACGTATCTGCAACGCACCATCTGCACCACCTTCGTTGAGCTGCTTTGCAGCTGTGTCGCAGCTCGCAACACTCAGCCCCCAAACCGGCAGCATCCTCGTAAATGTGGCAGGCCACTTGGCTGTTAACTGCAAGCCTGGGCATACACATGAAACCATCCCAGGCAACTACGAGAAGTCTATTCAAGGCCGTAACTTGCCTGCTCCACAGAGATCTTTTCGGTGTACATAAACGCGTCCTCCACGGTTAGCGTCAAGGCCGTAAAGGCAACAGCTGAAGACTCGACCGGCCTCCATGCCAAGCTGCCGTGAAATGATCGAGGGGCTCCTCAACACATAGCCAGCCTCAAAGCGACGAATCTGGTAATGCCAAACTTGATTCACGTGATACGATGCAAAATCGGTGTCGGGATGTGAGACACCCCAAGCAACGTTTTCCAAACCTAATTTGGGAGCGGGGGGGAGGGGGAGGGGGGAACGTCATTTAGAATCGTCCAATTGTTCGGGTGGGCTGCAGGGCTTTATCATCAGAATCGCCTCAGATGCTGTCCCAGGAACCATGCTTCTTGCCAGGCCTCCACGACACAACCGTGGTCATTACCATGACTTTTATCAATCCTTGGTGTTGCCACATAACGAGCCCCAGTACTACACAAAACAACCTTGACTTGTACAGCTGAGGCACTTATTCTTTTCAAGTTCCGGCCAGATGGCCACCAGGGTGACCACCATTGCAGCAGCCCATGACCCATATCTAGCATGAATTTCTACAGCAAACCGACCAACCACGGCTGTCCTACAACACACCCAAATCCGGATGCGATGAGCTTCAACTCAAGCTTTGTAGCTACAAAGGCTCTCGGATGCGGATGAGCTGCGTTCAAGGGTACAGGCAACAGCATCATCGCATTACGTACAACGCGCAGAGCACTGCATCAACGTTCAATCACCAAGACAAAAACAAGACCATGGCTTTATGCGGTCGGATTCACATGCGAGCTGACAGAAGCATCCGCAAACCGGATGCACATTTGATTGCTTGTCGTATTCACCCTGCGCTCTAGATACCTCATCTACGTTGCGTTTGTTGTCATGTTCCGCGCGCAACTGGCCACCGTCACAGCAAGAGGGCACACTTACGCACTTCTTCTGCCAGCTTGGGGCCGCCATGACAGAGGGGGAGGTTGGTTTCAGTGCCGGTAACGGCAATCAGCCCGGCGGCACCGCTGGCCGTACCAGCACCGCCCAACCTGCCGCCATGCCCGCAATATCATCCGCAGCCTGCATTTGCGCACAGTGCAGCATTGCTGACCCTCGTAAGAAAAATATCCCCCAAGCGTAGCGGCCATCCTCGGAACTGCATGCGGGATGATAGGACTTGTTCCACCAGCACCACTAATGCCTGGAAAACACAACCCAGTGTCAACCCAGCACGGGGCGGCACAATCGTGCCAGCAAGAACAATGCCAAACCTCACGCGCTGGATTATCATTAGACATGCGGGTTCGGGGGAGGCCCGGATCCCGCAAATTGGGGAGGGGTGCTGGAACGCCGCCGCCATCAGCTGCTGGCAGGGGAGGTGGGAGGGCGTTCCGGATGCTGAACAATGTCGCAAGAATCAGCCGCGTATTCAAACCAAAGTTCATGGCTCCAACGGCAACAAGCGAAGTCAAAAACAATCACTCAATAGCAAGGCGAAGGCTGTCCACAGATATGATATACATGCACGCAGACATGACATGCAACAAAGGAACCCACGCGGCCAAATCCCTTGAAATTTTTGGCTTCCGGGAGCTCACGAATTCCAAAACTTGCTTGTTTTGCTCCCCCTCTTTCCCTGGCTCCTCTGAATAGAGGAGAAACATGCCCCCGCCCCTTGTCTCTGGCTCGGCTTTGTAATTACAGCTGGAGGGGGTACTGGGGGAGGGTGCAGCGCCTCCCCCATAATGCACAGGCTGTGGTTTGGTTTGGGTTTGTCTCTGGAGGGCGCAGCGCCTCTGAACGCATCGTGTCGTCACAGGGCTCTATCTGGCTGGTTCGGCTGCTTGGCTTGGCCGTTTCTTGGCTGCACCGCTCCGACGAAGATCTAATAAGTTCCAGAAAGCCGATTGTTTTTTCGTCTGATCACAAGCATCCATGCTGGTTAGAGCTGAGCTGAGCTGCCACCGTGATGTTAATCATGGTGGATGCTGCCGTATCTTCCGCGTTCTGGACACTGAGGACAGTCAAGCAAGCTCAACATGGCCCTAGATAGCAAGCTTTGAGTGCTGACGACTCTTGAGCTGGATGTCTTCATCCACTCGCTGCACATGCAGAGGTTGGTGACCCAGAGCCGATGAAGCATCGGTCAATCGACACTTGCAAAGGAAGGATGGGGGTTCGGAGAGACAGTCTTCAAACCTACAGCATCTTCGAGCTTCAGCGGCATCTGTACATGTGGGTCAGCCGTCGCCTCTTGAATTTCACCCTAAGACTACAGGATCACGGCACCATCAGCTAGTCGGTCTGCACAGAGGTTGCAGCAAGGACGGTGTGCAAGTGTGTGCTAAACATGCGACTCCCAATCGATCTGTGGCTAGGCATACATCCCGAAAAGCTGCAGAGATTCTGCATGGACAGGCTGGCGGCTGCATGGCTTGTAGAATCCAAGTCACGGGGCCTGGGCAACAAGACAAACTCCGCGTAGCCTCCAGTGATGCGGATGGTGCCTGCATTCCATGAGCGATTGGTGTTGTCCTCTGCTCTTGCAACGCTGAGGCCAAGCGGCCAACCCGGAGACCTGAGGCACGCGCTCACCGGATCTGAGCAAGAGCCTGAAGATGAGGTACCTGCGCAAGAAGCTCCTACCAACCGAGAAAATCGATATGCCTCTGAATGCGTGGCGCTCATACTCTTCTCTTGCATCTCGATCTGATGTGCAGGCGAGCCTATCATTCCTTCTTGGATACTTGTAGACAGCAGCCTTGGAGAACAGGGACTGCTGAAACGCGTGTACATTCGGCACATGTGCGCATGCTTCTGACTCCATGATGCCCATGAGTAGGGTGTTCACATTGAAGGCAGGAAAAGGCCCAGAAGACCTGAAACAAGCGCTGCTTGCACAAACGATGTCTACAACCTTCTACAAGGCCAATGTGCATCTGGCCAAGGCCGAGCCCGGGCCAAAATCCTCTGTTGCAACAAGGTCTTCTGGACACTGGGTTGGAAACGTATTGATCGCTTTGAGCGTCTTGACCTCAAGAGCTGTGACCTGAACTGAGTAAATGATGCTAGCGACTGCTAGCTGACAGTGGAAGGCGGAAGGACGGAGCTACCGGACTAATCAGGTTACGACATAGATGACCGGCATGTTCATCTGAAGCCTCAGTGCTCTAAGCCCGAAGTCAAGGAACAAAACAATGCTCAGGCTTTCCGGAAACCGTTTCCTCTTGGATCCCAGCTTCTTGGCCTCGCTTTCCTACAACCACAAATGTGTCGTGCAATGCTGCGCTCAATGCTCCGGACAGTCACGCTCTGCGTCCTCCAGCTTTCCCTCGAGACGGTTCCACCTCCAATTCAAAAGAGACGCACTCGAGGTTGCCCGAGCGATCCCCGAAACGACCGGGCTGAGATGCTTGCTTCCCGCCCTCGATGAAGAGACCATGTATGTTCTGTCCTGAAGCAGAGAGCTACTACTAGGCAAGCTGAGCCGGGACCATCCTGATCGTTTAGGCGCAGCCTTCTTCCGGGAGCTCCCTCACGCGGTCAGGGGTGTCGAGGGTGAGCACCTTCGGAAGTGTGACAGTGTGACATGATGATTTCAGGTCATGACGACGTTCGAAACAGGAGCGACGTGCACACATGCACTTCTGCAAAAGAAACGGAGCGCTCGACAGTACATTATCATCATGCTCCATATGCACATGGAAAATCTAAATCGACAAGAACCAGGTATCCACTGAGCATACCTCGGATATTTTGTCATGCAAGGTACATTATCATGCAAGGAGGCTGGCAGAAACTCCCGGTGCTTTTCCAAATCGTGGAACACTACTAGAGAACATGCCAATGACATTTGTTCAGTTAACACCAAAGCTAACGAACAATCGGCCAGCGGGTTTTTCCCACCCGGTTCGCTCACCAGGTCCAACTGAGGGAAAACCCGGCGGTTTGAGTCCAGCCAATGCCATTTCCGAAGTCGTGCCGTCGCAGCACCGCATCACACTTGACATCTGCGGGCATGGCATTGTCTTGGAAAGTTGAGAAGCTGGAAAAGCCACCATGCAGTGGTACTTGTGCTGGCCACACGGCAAACGGCAAAGAAGATAATCCCGCTTCTCTTTTGCTTGCTATCCCACATCCAATCGGCTGTCAAAGCATACGTGAGCGCGAACAACTGCAAAGGCCAAACCGACTTGTACACATGATTACACATGGTCATGCATGCAGACCCACCAAACACGTAATGGGCCTCCGTGTGTGTCACCACCTCATCCAGTGCCCACTGGTCCTTCTTGTGTTGACGAGTCACCTGCCAAACTGATCCAAGCCCTGAAACACCCTCAGCCGCATGCCTGACGAGTCCAACGGTTCTGCCGAGTGCAAGTGCTCCATGGATTCTACAAAGTACAACCTTGAACAACTCGTGTCACGGTCCTCTTTCAATGACGGCTCACTACGCGTGCGCATCACTGCCAGCTGTGAGTCTAGCGTCTTGAACGGCCTCCTGGCGAATTCCGGTCAAGAACCCTTGTGCGTTCGTGAAGCCGGTGATCCAGTACGACTTCATCTCCTGCCGGCGTGGCAGGAGGGCAATGCAAGAAGCTCTTGAGGTCTTGCATGGTACGAACGTAAGTCCTCTCCTAGCCTTTCAGACACTTGCCATCATGGCCGCTCGTTCACTCCCTCTCACACTGACTGGACTCACACGCACCATCCCTCCCACACTCAAGAGAATTCCAAAACTCCAGTCGACCCGTGACGATGAAAGCAAAGATGCTAGATTTGCCACGGCTGCCGCTCCTTGCGCCCAAATTCCAGCCAGGTATTCAGCTGAGTGTACCTGCAGGCACGAAACGGGCTCTCTGATCTGATTGCCTTGCGGCCTTGCACGTTCATGCCAGGCCTGTCTGTAAGGCCCGCAGCCCAAATACCCAGCGTTGGCTGAAGCCAGGAGATTTCTGCCCCGGAAGCATCATGTGTCCAGCCACGGGGCACACGGCCGTCCTTAGTGGTGCAGCATAGCAGTCTGTGGCTGCGGGCATGGCCTCAGTCTGCTGTGAGTCTGCATGCGTTTGACTTCCGAACTGCTGACACTGCGGGCATTTAGGTTTGTGGGCAGAGCTGGCTGCCTCGCAAGTTCATAGCTCATTCATGTTCACGCTTGCGGACTTGCCGAGTGATAAGTCAAAGCCAGTCAGTACAAACCTCTCATTACTGCCGTATCCAGCTCTCTCAGGCGCAAACGTCGGCAGCGTCTGTGACGGTGCCAGACTCTGCACCGCAAACCGAAAGTTACTTTTGGTGGTGGACGGTCGCAGAAACGAAACTCGAATCGGCAGAGACATTTGGGAAGGTGTCACAGCTTCAAAGCCTTGGGCGGGGAACGGGAGAAGGGGGCCACCAAAGACAGAGAGATGGGGGGAAGGCATAGGCGCAGAACAGCCCATACTTTATGCAAGGATCGAACACACAGTTCAGGTCCTCCAGCAGCTCGACCGTCATAACGACAGTGCCGTCGATGGCCATCACAAGGTTGTCTAAGTTTTTGCGCACGATGTCGATGATATTTTGCAGTCGCTGCAGCTCCTGGAACAGAAATATGTGCAACGGTGCTCCGAAACCTCGTTCCTCCATTCGGGGTGGACCTTTCATCTTCTGGATCTGTGCACGGAAAACCTCTTCCACCAAATCCGGCGGCAGCTTGCCAAGCAGGTCAGTGGCGCTCTCCTTGACCTGCTCATCGACAGACTTCCCTGCTGCTGCGCTGCTCTCCTTCGGCTGAGTTTCAACGATTGTGGTCAGCATCTCAGCAGCTTCTTTGATACGATAAGTGATATCTGCATTGGGGTGCAAGCCAAAGATGAGTGGCGAATCCACTGGTGGGATGGTTTCGATGTAGTCCCTGTAGGAGCTGATATCCAATGCGTCTGCTGGGATCTGATAGTTGAAGTCGGCAGAGTGGGTGTTGAAGCAGAAAGTAGGTTTAAAGATCTCGTCACAAAACCACTTGGCAGCGTATGTGTTGATGAGATCCCTGTCAAGATCGTCCGTGATCCGCCCGCCGTACTGCACTTCTGCAATCATGTACTGAATCGTGTTCCACGTCAGTGGCAGTCCCACCAATATGGTTGAGGAGAGATGCTTCTCCAGAAACAGCAGGGATGCGTCCAGATCCGAGTTGTTGAACTCGTATGGCACACACCAACCAATTGCTCCGAATTTGCGGCGCTCCTGGACAATGCTGTGCAGGACAGCCACGGTGTAAAGTAGTGTTCTCCATTTCTCATGGTCTACCTTGTCGAGGGTCTCTTGGATGATCATGGTTGTATATGTTCTGTGCAATGATGCTTTCAAACCAGCAGGGGGTTCCAGGGTGACTTTGATGCACATCTGCAACAAGCCGATTGGAAAGCGAGAGGTGATCTCACATGTGATCCACAATCTGTAGTTCGTGTGAATCTCCGGGGTTTTCATCAATGTCTCTTCCACCTCATTCATGTAGTCAGTTCCCAAATGGCAGTTTTGCAGAATGACCCAGCCACCATTAATAAACGCTGCGCCGTTCTTTTCTCGAGCAACCTTCTCCTGTCCTTCGCCCATCGAAACCTGATCAGCGCCCATGCCCATTCTCAATCTAGAGGGCTTTATTCGCAGCGCTGGTGTGTGATCAGCCCTCTCCCGCTCACATGGTGGCCTTGTCAGTAGGGAACTTCTTTTTCCGCTTGGCCTGGGAAGTCACTAGTTGCACAAGTTTGGCCCCTGTGACCCTGCAGCCGAAGTACCAGCTCGTCTATCATATTTGTCGGGTCTGTCCCGGCCTTGGCTTCATGCGGAAGGCGAAAGTGAGCGACGCCAGACAGGCTTAGATGGCGGCCGAAAGCAGATAAAGGACAGGTTTGCGCGAGCTGCACTCCTTCCATTGAATTGGCTCTGCAAGCGGAGCTTCTTGACTGCGCTTTGGAAGGTTCATGTCGCGGTGATGGAAGTCTTGCGTGCTTTGGAAAAGCTTTCGAGGGGCTCAGCACAAATGTGCCTCGTAGATGTCGGTGATGGTATCGCTGACGGGTGCAGTGTATTTGGGGCCAAGCTGTTTGTCGACGAACTGCGCCTTAGCCAAGCAAAAGCAACAGCATTCTTCCAGTCCCCCGCATCATCTGTCCATCGCTAAAAAACAGTGCGTAGGCTGCACACACTGGCGATTCCAACTCTGTCCTGGCACGAGACGAACCGTTCACTTTGCATGAAACCCTCCTGTCTGCCCGGCCTCCCGCAAAGCCCGAACCAACACAAGACGTATGAACGGACCTGCTTGCCAGAAGCTAACCTTCACATGTAGATGCCTATCCAATAGCCGCAAAGTTTGTGACACTCAGTTTCCGACCTATGGTTCTCTCCATGACAATTCCTTGGTCTTACAAACAGGCTGACACAGGCTGAACATCTCACGGAGGATGATGCGGTACTGCTGTCCACCACGCTGCGACAAACGGCGGAGGAAAGCGTCTGGCATGTTGGAGCGCTAGCTTGTGCTCTCCCACAGCTGACTACTACAGTAGTTGCTGCTCGGCATCTGTCTTCGTACTCAGGAACCGGACAGTTCTCCTGCAATGTGGACAAAACGGCAATTAGAAAAGTGCTCTGGAGGACTTCGAATAGCATCAGGGCATGTCCGGCTCGCTCTGATCGAACCACTGGCGCCAGCCCAGCTCATTCCTGTTGGGCTCGGCTCAATATGACACGGAAACACGCGAACATGGCTGGGTAGGATCTCGGTTCATCTTCGCGGAAACGGCGAACCCTGCATTAGACAAGAAATCCAGGAAAGCATAAGATCCTTGGGATCCACGAATTGAGGTCACGCGGCTTAAGAAGCATGTGCAGCACAAGCATGCACAAGCACTGAGACTCTGAGGTCGCTAAGCACAACCACTGCAGGTCCCCCGGTCGACAATGGCCCATGCGACCGAAACCGACGGCCTCTGCAGCAAGTCCGTCAGTTCCCGGAATATTGGATTCTGATCTCTGCCTGCAGGGCAGCGAGTTCCACCAGGAAATGAGTCTTCTCAACTGCAGCCCTCAGGCTTATGTCGATCCTCTAGTAGAGCATCTCACAAACCCAATTATCCAAAAATAATACTGTATATGTGTGGACTGCAGTGCACACTTCCACCCACAGCGGGGTGTGTGCGCGTGTGTGTGTGTGCCTTGTTCTGCCAAAAGTTATCTTGAACACCCTGGCAAGGTCTCAGGCTACCGGGTCAAGTCGCCATCAAATTGCAGCGCCTAAAGCATCGGGCTTGATAGCGATGACGCAGCGATGCCGAAACAACATCCTACTGTTTAAGATCACCGCAGAAAGCCAACTATGTGCAATGGAGGCACCAAACCCGTGACGGGTAAGCTGTATGGCGTTCAGCCATGCCTGCACCAGTTTAACAGGAGTATAGCTGGCCATCAGGCACGAGGGCAGTTCTTGATTGACATGGCTCTAGCAATAGCAAATGTGGGATCCCTGTGATGAGTTGGACCTTCTCTCCCATCCACTTGTTGAACGGGTTGGGCCGCTCGTTGTTCTTATCCAGGGATCCGCCAGCCTTTGGAGGAAAGAGACAAGAGAGAGGCGATCACAGTTCAAGAGTTGGGTGTAGTGTGCTAGTGCATCGCGAATGTGATGTGCGAGCCTTCAGGAAAACCAAGACGTCTTCGCTGGTCCTTGCAGTCTACCAGCAGTGAGCAAGCGGTATCGGACACACGAAACGAGTCTGCGGCAGGTCAGCGTTGACCACCATCATTTTCAGCGCCACCAACCACCTAGTTTCGGTGGCAACTCATGACATGAGTGTAACACAATGTTTTCATGTCTAACCACGCGGGCAGTCGCCTGTACTGCTGAGGACAATACTTGAACATCATCTTATCACGCTCAAAAAGGCCGCGGTTCATGTAACGGTAGACCTGGTGATGCCATGGCGCTACTGCTGCCGCACGAGTGAGGTTCTAGTGAGATTTGTGAACAGACTTGCTAGAAAAAGCCTCGGTGATACATGACTGTCCGTTACTGGATCCGTGCGACTCTCCACCACCTTGTAGGTGAGCGAATCAATGATGCGCTCCACCCGTTTCGACCTGGATGCGCAGCCGACTGCACAGCTACCGTTTCCGAAAGTTGAGAAGACAATGCAGGTACAGCACGACGGGTCACGGCCTGCAAGCTTCGCAGGAATGAGTCGGCGAGCTAGCTTTCACTACTGACCTGTCTGACCTGCTGAGAGGTCTGTACGTGCTTGAACTCACGCATTTGCCTGTAGGTCGAACATTGATGTCCTTTTTAAGGAGGAAGTGCTACACTTAAAATATGGTATAGATGAATATAAATGCAATTGCTGTGCTTCTGCATCGTCCTTACAAATGTAAGTGGCCCCAATTCTTGCATACAGCTGACCTGCTTTCGGTTTATGTATTCCGGTCGTTGCAAAATTTCTTTGCATGTTTGCTCGGTTTCTTGCTGGGTTGTGGGGGGCAGCGATGTCTGCGGAATCGAAAGTCTAGTCCCAAACCTCCAATCGTTTCTGCAACTATTCCGCAAGCAGCCACGCGAAGTTTTGGTCAGTGCGACCTTTGTCCCTTCAGTTTAGCAAAGCCGCCAGGACTTTAGGAATTGAGGCCATCCTTGGTTTTCGATGGGTCAAGTCGGAGTGCTCCCACTCTCTATAGACAGCGAGAGTCGCCCCTTGGCAAAGGATGGCACCCGTGTTGACTTCTGCCTTTTCAGCCTCCGACGAAGGACTAGTGACTGGGCAATGCCTGTCGCTGTTTGGAATCCTGCGTCCCCTTGCAAATGCCGGATCTTATCACATCTTTTGCTGCCTCGCTTGCTGTGCTGAGAGTGTGACGTCGGCTGGACCTTGTCGGAGTGTTTGATTGAGAAGTCAAACCTAGGATTGGGGAAAGCAAGGAAGTGTGCAGTTGGTGCACCGTGCCATGCAAAGCCCAGCAGCCGCTCCAAGAACTGATCCAGGGAACAACTGTACATCCACCCGCTGGGCCTGTCATACGGCAGTGCGTGTGCGACAGGCTCTTCACTTGATGCCGAGGTCATCACTGAAGCGTGATAGGGTTGTTGACCAGGACCATCTCCGTCCTCTGAATGTTCGGTTTTGGGCTGCACTCCACATGCCCAGCTCCCATCGGCAGGCTGAGGCCCCCACATGTTGAAGTACCTCGAAGAATATGCTGCTAGAACTCGCTGAAAGTTGAGGCTGGAGCATGCTGGATCTCAGCAAAGGGCATCAAGCTGCCTCTGGTCGCTACTGGTCGGAACCTGAGTTTTGAAGGGTCTCTGAAGCTGTGCCTGCATGCCATAAGATGTCATGTTGAAGCCTGCGCCCGGCACTGGCAACGAAATCTCGAGTACAGCCAGGATCCCGGGCTGCTCCCGCTTCTCGTCGATCTCTATCGTCCTCTGGCAACCGTCATCCGCCGGCAAATCGTGCATTGCTCAGCTGGCCTCTGCTTGGCCTCATCCAGCTTTGCTTCAACCTGCGACGGGCTCCAAGCTGTTTTTGTCAATTTCTACCTCCACGAAGCAACCAAGGGTCTTGTGCGCAGTGTGCCTCTTTGGCTTTGGCCTTGGTGTTGGCCAGAACCTCTATGAGCTGGGTGTCGTCCTGCCAAGAAAAATGAGTCTACATTTCCCCGACGCAGTCTGTGCCTTGATGTCGGGATCTATGTAAAAAGTGCTCGTAGCTTGGCCATACCCCTTTCGGGAGCTCGGGGCTTTAGAGTGCATGGGGTTTGGCGGCCATCGACACATACATCTTGCTCGCACTGCTCTTGTCTCAATGTGCTGGGTATGGGATGCTCGTGGCGGCAGTCCAGTAAATTGCCCTTCGCATTCGAGAGGCGTTCCTGGGTTGGTGTAGGTGCAGCTGAGTGCTGAATCCACCACGAAAAACTTTGTAAGGCAGGATCGAGAAGCAGCTTCCCAAACCTTAGTCGCAAGTGCCGACACAAGACCAGGATGGACCTGGACACACTTACATAAACCCTTATCAACTTTGTGCTTTCAACCGTGCACGTGCACCTTTCCAAGAAGACATGGCGCATGTGCGAAGGTCTCAGCATCGCACATTTGCAACGACTTTGTGCTCTTTGTCGTTTCCTCCTCGGCGCTGTAAGCATGACCAAAGGAAGACGGGCATGATCTCTCACGCAATGGAACCTTCTACCGGGAAACCTGCGAACCGCCCAACACATGCTAAGGAACATCCCTTCCAGCTCGTGGGCACCCAAATGGTGGCCGACAAACTTGGAATCATGGATTGCAGACCGGGTGGATGGGGAGGGGGGTGGTTAACTTTTTCCTTGCACTAGGTAGTCACTAGGACTAAGCCTGGATAGCTTACAAGTACAGCAGCAACAGCTCAGACTCTTACTGGACAGTGGTTCTCGCACAACGGCAATGTACTGTTTGTCAGTCTCGGACTCGCTAATTTGGTGGGCAAAATGACGTGCAGGTTGCGCTGGGGACCAGGAATTAGGACCGTGGCCGCCCAAGGCTTATCCCGGAGAGAGAATTAAGACAAAGGGGTCCCCAACATCCAGGCCTATCCCGGGGCTGTCCAGGCTTGTCCCAAAAAGAGAGAATTCAATCTACAGGGATCTCCCATCCAGGCAATAATCCATGACCCATCCGCGTCAATGCGCCCGGAAAACCAAGGGGTTCCCTGCACGATCTGCTTGGTAAAGCTGGCTCGAAATACCTGCTAGCTACTCTAAATTCATTCAGGGTTTTCTAAGCTTGGAGGCTCCTCGTTTGAACAGAAGGTTCCTACAAATACACCTTTTAGCTTGCGGACAGCACCTGGATATGTCATCATCCTGAAACCTCTATTTCCAATACTGCCGGCCTGTAAATAGCACCCTCTTGGTCCTCTTGGATAAGCTTGGATGTGCTGGGTTTTCAACTGGGAGAGGTTGGAATTCTTGTGTTGCATGCGTCGACGTAAACACGTCGCCAACCAATGGCGAGTTCGCTCCCAAACTGAATTCTGTATGTCGCATCGTGCCGCACCGTCCACCGACACATCTGCTGCCAGTCTCTCCCAGTCGGCCCGGGGAGGGGCAGGCAGCGAGTGAGCCCAAGCGATCTCGGTCGGCGCGTCAAGTTGCAGCCTTTCAAGGAGTCCAGGGATCTTCCAGGGGTGGCAGATGGCAGCAGTTGTCACCGCTGCATCTGAGGCTGGCCCTTTGCCAATGCTTTCAGGCTGCATATATATGATGACCGCATGGCACTGGCACGGAGCATCGGTTGGTGGTTTCGGTTTAAGGTGGGGGTGGGAACAACGAAATAAACAGAGCTAGGACTCCACGGTATGCAATACACCCTAGCTATAGACCAGGTCTGAAATGCGCCAGTTCTGTAGGGTGGCCTCAAGGCTGGGAGATTATGGGAGTCATCACCGCATTGGATCATCAGCGACATCATCTTGACTTCACATTTGCTGTCCCACATTCATGATTCTGGCTTTGTCCAGCGTCGGAGCGGAGCTCACAATGCGAATGACCATACTTAACTGTTGTGACAACTGTTAGACTGTTGTGTCGGTGGATCTCAGCGCTGACTCTGTGCTGTGTTCGACACACGCACGCATACCTTGCATCCCTCCCCCCCCTCCCCCCCTCTTCCACCCCCCCAACCCCCCTTTTTTCCTACACCAACCCCAACCCCACCCCCCAACCACCCCAGATCGCCTGCCCCACCCCCCCCGCTTGCCTTCACCGTGTGGTTTTTGGCACCAAATCCATGTTGAAGGCAACGGCCGCCTGCCTTCACCGTGTGCTTTTGGCACCAAAAGCATGGTGAAGGCAACGGCCGCTTGCCTTCACCGTGTGTTTTTGGGCACCGAAACCATGGTAAAGGCAACGGCCGCTTGCCTTCACCGCGTGTTATTGGCCCCAAAACCATGGTGAAGGCAACAGCCGCTTGCCTTCACCGTGTGTTTTGGCACCAAAACCA